TCAACATTTTCCAAGTGAAAAATTATATCAATCAAACACAATTAATTACAATTCCCAGTAAAACATTTTCTAGGCAATTCAATTTTCTATAAAATATTTTCTTTCCACCCATTTTCCACATTTGCAATCAAACGGATCATAAGCTCAAATACAAATAAAGCCTAGGGCACCACTTGTATGCAGTTGTGTGGTGAGTTCAGGGGCGGGGGAAGGTCTTTCTTGAAGATGTTTAGCCCCAAGTTATCTCTCATTCTTTTAAAACTCTTTTTTCTACGTACTCATTTTCAACCATACGTAAATCCAAAACTTTTTCCTACTTGCAACTTTCTTAATTCTGAAGCACAGAAGCATAACCAATTATGGTGTTTAATCTACTCTGTAAAGTCAATATAGCTGTTCATAACAGTCTAGATGCTAAAAGGACTCCAGAGGCGAAAACGAACATACATTCACACTATTCAAAAAGTTGATAAAACATTGGCACCTGAGCATAGTATACCATAACAATCGACATCAGCAGTCAAAAAACGAATCAATGAATTCTACAAATACCTACTTTTGTGTTCACTACCACTCTATAAGAAATGAAGGCCGACTTTAAGAGCTATCTCTAATACTCATACATTTTCAATTGGAAATGACAGTGGCCACAATGAAGCAATGTATTGAATTGTCCCAATAAGTCCTAAATCAAAGCAGCAACAATCCTATTTTCAAGCCTTTCTAAGAAAATATTTTCATCAATTACACTGGTAATGGAGTCATGACTTATAATTATGTTCAAGGATCAAAAAACTTGGAATCTTAGGGGCTGTTCTTTTCGTGTTTCAGTTTTTAGTTTTGAATTCATTTTGAGTTTTGTATTTTGAGCGTTCATTTTGAGATTGCTGAAAACCCGTTCTTTTTGTCATTTTGAAAAATTGTTTTCAAAAATAAAAAAAATAAAGTTTTGGCTTAGTTTTAACTGAAAACAACCAAAACGACTTTTTTTACGTTTTCCCTTTTTTTTTTTTTGTAAATTTTAAACTCGTTTTTGGAAATTCGTTTCTGAAAATAGGTAAATTAACGTGTTTTCAGTGTTTTCAAAAACTGAAAATGGTTTGAAAAA